GTGTGTGTGTGTGTGTGTGTGTGTGTTTGGTGGGGGACAAACACTGTGTGGTCCCAGGTCTGTCAGCTGCCCTGCTCAGAAATATGGGGTAGTGAAAAGCTGCAGGGTTCAGGGCCATATATGCCCCTGAGACCACGGCTGCACTAGATGTACACTCAATACTGAGCACCAACATTCATTAAAAAAGGCGTTTACTCATAAGGTGGAGAGTGGTGCAGCAAAAAGGAAACAGAGAAGTTCATAGCAGTGAATTGGGCCCTAAATCTTTGCAGACAATCAAACTGGGAAACGGTTGCATGTGCTGGAAAACTGTTCTAATGTGTTTATATAATCTTAGAGAGAGTAAACAAGGCTTTTTATTTTCCTCTATATACAAAAGAAATTCCAGGCTGAGTTACTCGGCTGAATGAGCTCCACTTCCTGCTCAATTCAAGACATTCCACAGTACATTATCTCCTGCTAGAGCCCAAAGGTACTCCATTTCCTCTGCAATATTACGCCACTGATTACCAAAGTAGATAAACTGTTGATAGGCCAAGATCCTAACAGTAATTACATCATGTTTTATAGTACATAATCCTTGAGAAAATGATGAGAAGCTGGATGAAAGTGTGCATCAATCAAATGTAACAAACCCAATTATTGTCACCCCTCCCTCCTTTTTCCTCACTGCTCACAGCCATCACACAGCTCCCCATGACTCAATCCTGATATGGCAATTACAGCTGCAGAGAGTCTTTGCTAATAACTGCAATCCAATCACTTCACAGCGTGTGCGGAAGGAAAGAAGGACCAAGATAAATAATGACAACCCGCAATTTACTTGATATTGTTATTTTTACGCTTCTCTCCTGAATAACAGGATCCTCACTGGCTGTCATTTCGCTCAGATCTCAGTTTCCTTCTTTGGTCATGCCTTCTGCACGACGAGGAGCCTCTGACCCTGCTTTGCATTCAGACAAATGCTTAAAAATGTTCACTTATAAAACACAGCAGGTCCCTAAATCAATCAGCAGCATTCATGGTTCAAATTTAATGATTAAAACATATTTGAAATCTTTATGTGCATTTTTAGCCAAACATATTGATAATAAATATGCAATTTAAAACAATTGCATTCATGTCATAACATGCTGATGGTGTTGGATATGAAGGTTAGACTTTAGTTTACCTGCTGAGGAAAAACTAACGAGATTTATGAGTCGCCAAGATTTGCTGATTAAGTGCAGACGTGGTGCTGAGAGCCTCATGTACTCAGTTGGCAGAGCAGAAATGAACAAAACGTGATTCTGAAGTTGATGCAGAATAGAACACAATAGAGTAGAACAGAACAGAATAGAATTAAACAGATATAAAAAAAAAAGAATTAGATAGAATAGAATAAAATAAAACAAAACAAAATGCAATATAATAAAGTACAATTGAATAGAAAAAAATAGAATAAATAGAAAAGAATAGAATGAAATTAAATAGAATAGAATAAAATAGAATTGAAAAAATAAAATAGATTATAATGAAATAAAACAGACTAGAATAAAATAGAATAGAACATTGGGGAGATTTTAGGTGTACAAACAGAGAAAGGACAGGTTGACCAAAGCCTGTAGATTCACTCAGATGTAAATATATACAAAGAAATTGACACTATAGAAAACAACACTCTACAGGTATTAAAATCATTTATGGAGATTCAAAGAAATGTGTAACTCATCCCTTCCCAGGTCAGGTCTTCTGGAAAGGGAAGCTTTTCCAGTTCCACATTTTCCTCTCCACTGTCGCTACAAGCATGATTAGTGGGAGGGATTGCTGAAGAGTCAATGAGTCGATGCAATCAGCTGGTTTTCCTTAGACTGAAATTCCGTAAAAGTTTTTAAAAAATCGTAAAAATAATCCTCTGGACTTGGTTTCCAAGGTTTGAAGACGTGTCGCTTCCCGTCCAGGAAGCTTTCTCGATTCAAAATGTCTGGATCCGCAGTGAGTTTGAGTCTTTATATAGACAAGGCCTTGTATCGCTTGGAAACATGCAAATTGAAACTGACAAGCGGGTCGTTTGGTTCCATTGTTAGCCTGTAATATTTGAAACCTGTCTATGATTCTGAAGGCCGGTTGGTAAAGAAGGGATTGTTCACCTGGCTGAAGAGAGGAGGTGCTTTGTTCCTCTGTGATGGGGTGGGGGTGTGGTGATATCTGGAAGGGATCAACTCAATCACTGAATTGTAAGTTTTTGGAAGCTGGAATCTGAGTCCACCACCTCTGTTTAAAGTTGTTTTTTCTGTCTTAACAGAGATGCTTCCTTCCTCTCAAACCACCTAGTTTCTTTATCCAGAATGTGGACATTCTGGTCCTCTAAAAAATGTCCTTTGTCCACAAGATGTAGGTGTACTGCGGAGTCTTGTCCAGAGGAGGGCGCTCTTCTGTGTTGGGCCATGCGTCTGTGGAGAGGTAGTTTGGTTTCTCCAATATAAAGATCAGATCATTTATCGCTGCATTGAACAGCAGACACCACTCTGCTCATATTGGGTCTGGGGTTTTTATTTGTTTAAGGGTTTGGTTTGAAATGTTCTGGGATTTTGTGTTCGGAGAAAATCCTCTTGAGCTTTTCAGAGACTCCAGCAACATAAGGGATTGTGATGTTTTAATTTTCTCACCACCATCTTCTGCTGCGTGTCTTTTGGATTTCCATGCTGATTTGATAAACGTCCACTTAGATTAAAAACTTTTAAATCAATCTGACTGGATGATCTGGTGAACTGTAAAGTGCATTGAGATGACGCGTTGTGAATTGGCGCCATAAAATTAAACTGAATTAATAATAATTGAACATTATTGACCTCACATTGGAGAAATTTACCTCTGGAGCAGTGGGCTGCCATTGTGCGGCGCCCGGGGAGCAGTGTGGGGTTATGGGTCTTTGCTCAGAGACCCAGAGTGTCAGTCTGTGGGAGTGGGGCTCAAACTCAGAACCTCAGGATTCCAAGCTCTATGCCCTAACCACTAGGCCGCCTCTCCCGGCCTAGTGTGAATTAACCCCCACACTGCTCCCCGGGCGGTGCACAATGGCAGCCCACTGCTCCCCAAGGGGGATGGGTTAAATGAAAGTTCATTTCGTTGCTCTGTACTTGTGAGAGTGGAATGACAATAAAAGCTGGAGTGAATTCATTTAAAACAGAAGGAAAACAGACGGAAACTGGCTGATAAGACATTCATTGAAAAATCGTAACAGTGAATTCTTAACAAAAGAGTCATAATGGAATCTAAAAGGTTGGAACGATTTTTAAACAGTCTTTTACTCATAGTTTATCCTGACTCTCTCGGTTGTGAAATCATTGGGAAGAAAAATGCTCAGTTTCTCTGATAAATTACTCAACAGGAGGCAGAGCCATAAAGCATGAAATCTTATTGGACAATCAATCAGTTAATTTTCCCTTGCCTGAGTCTACTTCCACCAAATTGGCATCTCCACAGTGGTGAAGTCAACTGGCAATTTGGGAGAGAAGTGCTTTGAGGTACTCTGCTTCAATTGAATCAGAGAGCAACATCCCTAGAAAGTGCTCTGAAAAGAAAGGGCAGTACGAGCACAGCGCTGGAAGATGTTTCAAGAGGAAAGGCTCCAAAATAATAACATCTTTACAGCAAGCGTGTTATGGCTGAGAGCTGCTCTGGCCTTGTGCTGGTAAAAGAAAAAAAACTGCTGTTTCAATTTGATTTGCTCTAAATAAACACAGAAAACCGCTGCATTGAGTTTGCACATTGTTGGCAGTAAATGAGAGCGAGAAGTCATTCTTTTCCATTTGCAGACTTCATTACACAGATGTAATCTCATTCTGATGTTTACCAGCTGCAATTTTAAGGTTCTTTCTCTTGCTGCTGCTGAAGATCTGACTTTGATGGAAAAAGGAAAAGTTTATTAAAGAAGACTTACTACTGATTTTTGTAAAAAGTGTCTTTACAAAAATGAGTTTTTCTACAATATCTTAATATTGGTAAAGTATCCGTTTATTTATTAATGAACGGCCAAATATTAACATTAAACTTGGCTTGCTTTAGATTTAGAAAGGATTTCAACTTGTGATGGTTTTTGCTCATGTACCATCCTGAAATGGCACTTTAAGGACTCAACGCCTCATTTTCACCAATAGAAGTCAATAGAAAGGCCACACAGCTATACTGTGGCACTGGGTGTGTGTGTGTGTGTGTGTGTGTGTGTGTGTTTAGAAGATGAAAAACAAAAGGAGGTTTACCAGTATGGTGGAGACGATGAGAGATCGGTTGGACAATGAATCAGAGACATTAGTCGTCTTTCCCTTCTGGTTGTCAGTCATATTCAGGCCACTCGCTGGGTCCCAGGTACCAATCTGTAAAAAAGAAACAATATTTTGGTCCCGCCTGAAGAATCTTAAGCAATAAGGCTGAAATAATAAGTGTTTTAGAAAGTTATTATTTGGAATTTTTATTATAATATTTAGAATGTATTGATTCAAGTACAAAATATTCTCAACATTTAGTGCCAAATTAATATCACAACAAGGTGAAATCCATTTTCGAACCTTCAAATTGCACAGAACTATTTTTTACAATCCTTTTTGATGGCAAAACTTATGACTTTGTGTAATTACAATACAGAAAGATTCAAATGTTGTATTTGTTCACTGCAAATATTTAAATCTAAATAAGTAGTTTAGATTTTTTCTTCAATTGAGGAGGTAAGTGAGACACTTTGCAAATGGAACAAGATCATTTACATTTAAAATAAGAAAAAAAAAACTGCATTGTCTTATTTAAAGTACATACTATCTAATTATCTTATTTTAAGATTTAAAATACTCATTCCATTAGCTAATGATCCTATTTACCTACTAAAATTAATCAAAAACACAGTTGATTTAAGACATTTTTACTTATTTGTAGATTGTTTTTTGCAGTGTTTGTTTTACAGTGCACCATCCTTAATGCGTTTTTTGCTTCTATCCAATTCAGCTCCTCATAGAGATGATCTGTGTTGCTCCCTGAGGAAACAGTTGACAGCAACGTGACCCCTAAACCCTTTCTCGGCAGCTTTCTTCAGACACCCACGGGGAGCACGTTACAGCTGATCTAAGAATCTGATCGGCGTCGTAGCCTTTCGAGGGCTTGACCAGTGGGAGGGAGGAAAATACACGCTTGAGAAGCAAAGAGGAAGAGGACAGCAAAGACATCAAATTATGCCTCAAGGCCTTTCATGTTCTTTCTGAACTCTTACTTTAAATTGTAAAGTCAGGCCTCTTTAACACCATCTGCTGCTCTTCAAGCAGCCCCTCAACCCAGAGCATTACCAGAGGGGACCGCAAACACTCCAACCCACAGCCGCCACACGCTCCGCAGGGTGATCTCGCTGAGTGCTCGAGATGGTCTTTGCAATTGCAAATCAATCCTTTAATTCAGGTTTCATGAGGCTGGAGGGCTTTTGAATGAGTTTTTATTAATGGAGTAAATTATTCAAGGCGGTTCGTGCACGCATCGTACATAGACCAAAGGTCAGGAGATGCTGAGAGGAATGCACCACTGAGAATAATGAAGTTTAAAGTACTTGCAGTTCCGCGAGAGGATATTATTTCTATCAGTTGCATTAGCTGCTGTCCTCTTTTGAAGATCTTGTCAATGTTTGAGTACCAAACAGTGCAGTTCTACTTTTCTCTGGAAAGAAGGTGCTCCTCTGCATAGGGGAACTTAAACATAACTGAAGAAGATACGCTGTGATGGTAACAGACGTATGTTATTGTTGTTTTGAAGCCAGACACAAATAAAATGTTATCCCCTATTGTGTGCTAGAAGAAAATCAACCAGAGCTAGGAGAGTAAATTCAGCTGTTTTAGCCGGGAATAGGGAAAAGTTTGGAAGAGAGATAAAAAAAAATAGTGTACTGCACTGCAGAATAAGTTTTTTTCTCTTCAAATAAGTGCATTTTTTCTTGAATTGAGGAGGAAATGTAAAAAAAAAAAATGGTTTAATAGATTTAAATTTAAAATAAGAAAGAAAAAACAATGGCATTGTCTTATTTCAATTGCATGTTATCTAATTATTTTATTTCAAGAGAAAAAAATACTCATTCAATTCAATTCAGTTTATTTCTATAGCTCCAATTTGCAACACGTCATCTCAAGACACTTTACAATTCAATTCAGATCATACAGTCAAATTAATTCAAAGTTTTCCATCTAAGGAAAACCAGTTGATTGCATCGACTCATTGACTCTTCAGCAATCCCTCACACTAAGCATGTTTGTAGCGACAGTGGAGAGGAAAAACTAATTTTTAACAGGAAGGAACCTCCAGCAGAACCATTAGCAGATCATTTTATTTACCTACTCAAATTAAGGGTAAATCTTACTTAATTTGAGAAAGTGTTACTTATTTCTAGATCACTTTTGCAGTGTGTTATCAAGAATGTTACAAGTAGAAAAGAAATGGATTACACACTCCAAAAAAGATCTAGAAATAGGCAAAAAGTGAGAAAAATGAAGTGTATTTACACTTAGTTTGAGAAGGTAAATAATATGATTTCCCAATGAGTATTTTTACTCATAAAATAACATAATTAGATAAAATCCACTTGAAATAAGACAATGGATTTTTCTTATTCTAAATGTAAATTGTCTAATTCCATTGGCAAAAAGGCTCACTTGCATGGCTAACAGGGCTAAATGGTGCTACTCCGGCAGGTAGCTGCTGTCAGCAGTGCATTTTCCAGGGAGACGATTGTGCCTTGTAGGAGAAACAGGAACAGGTCAACAGTTTTAACATCATTGAAGAAAAGCAGATGGTTCTGCTGGAGGTTTCTTCCTGTTAAAAGGTAGTTTTCCTCTCCGCTGTCGCCACATACATGCTTGGTGTGAGTGATTGCTGAAGAGTCCCTGATGTGATGCAATGAATTGAATTTATTTTTTTCTGTAAAGTGCCTTGAGACGAAATGTTAATAATTGGCGCTATATAAATGAACTAAATTGAATTAAATTAGTCTTAACTCTTTTATTCTATTATCTAAATCATTCACTTAAATGCAAAGACTGAGAAGAAATCCTAGCCATCTCTTCTTGTGAATCTTTGACATGCATCAGACAGCATTTGAATGAGCATCTGAATTTTTTCGGGTTGCATCAGATTTCATTTAGCATTGAAAGCAGTTAGAACTAGCAGGACTGAAGGAATAAAAAAAAAACATTTCAGTCTGAGCTTTAGGCATTTCATTCTCACTGTCAGTGACTTTAAATCTAATTATGAATTCCAGAAAAATGATCTCATTTAAGATAGAGTTGTATTTTATAACTTTTATAAACAAACAATGAAGCCAGAAATGTTTTAGCTGACTTGGCAGTATGCTGACTGAGCCGATTAAAATCTCCAGCATTTCACCCAGTTTTCCAGAGATAGTCTATGGAATAAAGAAGTCTGGCTATAAAGAGGTTAAATCTGAGTTGAAAATGCTTTTCTATCAACATGTCAGTGATTTCATCCTACTAGATTTCCACGTTTATAGTAACTCAATGCTAACCTAGCATCCTTCTGTTAAAACCTAAGGTTTAACTAATACCCGTTTCCCACTGGCTGAAAATCCCCATTTAAACCCAGGAGCAATGGACTTTCAGTGGCAGTGGGAACAACTCACTGACGCCTGTCTACCCGGGTCAAATAACTCGGCAAGAGACCCACGTTAAAATCGCCTCGGCTCTGATCAGCAGGCTGTAGGAACACCAGAACCGGGTTGACACGCTAAATTACAGTTTACCATTGAATGCAACTTACGGACGTCAACACACATTCTGATCAAACAAGCAGAAACAACCCTGATTCCATTAGATAAACATGGAGCAGCTCTGGTAACTGACTATGCCCTGGCTTTCTAACATGCTGCTCTCCATTGTTTACTTTCCTGATTACTGGTGACATCATCAAAGCTAACCCAGCGTGATGGTGTCACTAGAAACGCAGCGGCGGGGGGACACGGCTTGCCAACAGGGGGTTAGACTCGCTTTTTTTTGTTGGTGGGGAAGGGAGCCAAAAGCTGAGTGTTAGCGGGTCGAACCATGTTTGAAAAACACATGATGAGCTGCTATTTTCAGTGGGAAAGATGCTATATATTATTAACAATAACTCATTGATAACCAAGCATCCTCCTGTCAAAGACCAGGGTTTAACATACAAACATACTGGAGGATAAATGGTGAATTAGATCAACATTGGATTCTATTCAGGGTTATCAAGGTAGATGCAGATAAACAGTAAATTACACTCACCGGCCACTTTATTAGGTACACCTGTCCAACTGCTCGTTAACACTTAATTTCTAAGCAGCCAATCACATGGCAGCAACTCAGTGCATTTAGGCATGTAGACATGGTCAAGACAATCTCCTGCAGTTCAAAGCGAGCATCAGTTTGGGGAAGAAAGGTGATTTGAGTGACTTTGAACGTGGCATGATTGTTGGTGCCAGAAGGGCTGGTCTGAGTATTTCAGAAACTGCTGATCTACTGGGATTTTCACGCACAACCATCTCTAGGGTTTACAGAGAATGGTCCGAAAAAGAAAAAACATCCAGTGAGTGGCAGTTCTGTGGGCGGAAATGCCTTGTTGATGCCAGAGGTCAGAGGAGAATGGCCAGACTGGTTGGAGCTGATAGAAGGGCAACAGTGACTCAAATAACCACCCGTTACAACCAAGGTGGGCAGAAGAGCATCTCTGAACGCACAGTACGTGGAACTTTGAGGCAGATGGGCTACAGCAGCAGAAGACCACACCGGGTGCCACTCCTTTCAGCTAAGAACAGGAAACTGAGGCTACAATTTGCACAAGCTCATGGAAATTGGACAATAGAAGATTGGAAAAACGTTGCCTGGTCTGATGAGTCTGGATTTCTGCTGCGACATTCGGATGGTAGGGTCAGAATTTGGCGTCTACAACATGAAAGCATGGATCCATCCTGCTTTGTATCAACGGTTCAGGCTGGTGGTGGTGGTGTCATGGTGTGGGGAATATTTTCTTGGCACTCTTTGGGCCCCTTGGTACCAATTGAGCATCGTTGCAACGCCACAGCCTACCTGAGTATTGTTGCTGACCATGTCCATCCCTTTATGACCACAATGTACCCAACTTCTGATGGCTACTTTCAGCAGGATAATGCGCCATGTCATAAAGCTGGAATCATCTCAGACTGGTTTCTTGAACATGACAATGAGTTCACTGTACTCAAATGGCCTCCACAGTCACCAGATCTCAATCCAATAGAGCATCTTTGGGATGTGGTGGAACGGGAGATTCGCATCATGGATGTGCAGCCGACAAATCTGCGGCAACTGTGTGATGCCATCATGTCAATATGGACCAAACTCCCTGAGGAATGCTTCCAGCACCTTGTTGAATCTATGCCACCAAGAATTGAGGCAGTTCTGAAGGCAAAAGGGGGTCCAACCCGTTACTAGCATGGGGTACCTAATAAAGTGGCCAGTGAGTGTATGTCACATTAGTTAGAGTTGTTTTAGGAGGTTTTGAAATGTTGATCCCCTTTACAGTTCTGCACTATTTTGTTTTTTTTGCTATAACACAAAATCAAAGGAATTGATGTATGGAGATCAAATCCGGATCCTTTGAGTTCTGATGTCAATAAAAAGCTGGAAATGATTCAATACTGAAGCCTTTCTGAGAGGTGAATAGATTATTGGATGTTCATCTATAATTATTCTGTAGTGGAGGAGCCCTTTTCTGCACACTGATCATTGAACTTTGTATTCATTGTGTTTTATGAAACAGCAGATTCACACACAAACAAATGAGGAAAATCCGAACCTTTTCGAGTCCGTCTTCTTTAAGGCTAATAACATCGAGGTCAAAGTCTGTCCTCAGGCCGTTGGTCCTGTTGAAAGAGATTCTTCCAGTGAGGCCATCCCAGTGAGCCTGCAGGCAGAAGAAGTGAGACACAGCTCATCAGAGGAGACAATAAACCAGCGACATCAAGTCTGCATCTCTGCTCTCAGATAGCGCTTTGATGGCAGCCTTGAAAGAAACAGCCCAGAAGTCTTCCGCTCCTCCGTTTGTGTAAAGCCTTTTCTGTTCGGGGTGTCTAAATAGACTCGGAGTCTGTGTTTGTGACAGTGGGAAAGCAATTACCCTATCTTTACAGATATTTAGAACTGTGATGGAATACAGTGCAGCATGAAAGTGACTCACAACAGAGATGGCTTCTAGCCTGGCGTGGAAAATCATCACAGTGATTCTAGCAGACGGGAGAGAATGCACTTCAGGGCCCATTTTTGAATCAGTGAGTGGGAGAAACAAATCTGGAAGTTCCTCTACGAGCTACTCAAAAACCTTTATGACACTGCAGTGGGTGGCTCCGTGTCTGAGTACCACTTCATTTCTGGAAGTGCTGTGGAATATCTGAGGATGCATTACTTTAGCGGAGATCACTGGAAGATTGTATTGCTTACTAAAAAACAAGAAACATCCACTTTAGGTCATCATCAGATAATGATTCTCATGAATTTATATTATTATTTCCATATCTCTATTTTTCTCTTTTCTGGCCTATGTTAAATTTTTCTTCCTAATTGATCTTATGAAATTATTATTATTTGAAAAGACACTTTTGAAATGAATTGACCTATGAGCTTTTAATTGTATGGAAGCGTTCGTGTCTCTCCCATACTTTTTCATGGTGGTTTTCTCAAGAAAACAAGTTAATTTTCTCATCTAATGATAACAAAAGCGTTTTTTTTTTTTGTGATTATGAGATAATTGGTGTGTGTTAAAACTGATAACATCCTTCAATAACATAACAGCAGGACAGGATTCATGGCAGCCTATGTGCAATCCAGTAAATAATCCTGTGTTTAACTTTTAGGTAAAGAGACGACATTGTTGGTTTGATGATTTGCTTCCACTTCTGATTCATAAGCATTTAGACCTATGCGGTGTTCTCTCACCAGGTGTTTTCTGAACAGGCCCGATGTTATGTCTGTAAAAGCTGTAAAATGCATTAATCCCCAAAACTAGCCAGATTTTCATTAAAAAACAATCACATTTATTTCTACCGTATTCCATGCGATCATACACCACAACCTGACAATCAGTCAAAAGAAAAAGAAAGTAAAAAAACTAAAGATTTCGCCTGCATGCGGTACTGCGACTCCACATTATGGGCCCCGCAGGCATGGATGGACTGGGAATCCTGGGCGGTTGGCCAGCCTCATTCATTACTCAGACAGGTTAATCATCTCGTTATCTCAGGAAATCAATAACTGTTTTCTGGAGATAACAACATAATTATCCTGTTATCTCGAGAAAATATTTAATGGTTTAACCGTGATAACGAGATACTTATGTCATTATCTCGAGAAGACAAAGGAAAAAAAAAAGTTGCGTAGGACCGCTCTGGGCTTCCGTATAATTGACACCATTTCTGCCCATCTTTCCCTAAACAGAGGTAAGTCCACCTGTAGTGTGTTACATGGTTCCTTGGTTCGTCTGTGACCTCCTACAGCCATCCTCAATGCACACCTGAGATAATCTGACAGCGAAGGTTCACTGCCTTTCCATTTCTTTCTTCATTTGTGGATAATTGACTCTCTCTGTGGTTCACTGAGCCCCAAAGCCTTAGAAATGGCTTCGTAACTCTTTCCAGGTAGACAAATGTCAGGGATTTGGTTTCTTACATTTCTGTAAAATGGGGTTTGGTGTATTGCTTATTTAGGATATGTTGTCAACAATCTCTGTTTACATAACTTCTATGTTCCTCAGGTCAGGAAGTCATCAGCTTACATCTGTTCATTTATGATTTCACAGCAGAGGTAATTTTATAGATTTAAAGAGTATTGTTTCCCCCTTATGGAAATTAACCAGATCTTATGATGCAGTAAACTGCTGCCATTTCAGGTAAACAGAACCTTTGGTCCGTTATAGGAGCACCGTGAAGTCTGGTTAAAAAAAAAGAATTTTGATTATGTAACATATTTCCATAAGAACACCGTATTTTCATTTCTCCATTTTCCCATTTTGCCACCCTGATTTACATTCTCCCCTCATCTGGCTCTCTGAGAGCATCTGTGTTGTGTGTGAAGGAGCTGCGTATGCTGAGAGTTGACACCGAATGGCGAGCAGGTAGACTAGGATCTACCTCTTTGATGAGGGCCATGAAGCGATTCCCAAAGCGCCAAGGCTTGTGTCGGTTGCACTGTAATGAACTGACAGTGATCTGCTGAGACTGCTGCACAGCCACGGCCACCACATGCACGGCATCGTACATCAGCGCGGCGTCCGTCTGCAAACAAGACAGGGGAGAAGCAGAAGGTCATTAACATGGAAGAGAGCTCCCAGCAGATCAGCGGGAATATATGCAGAGTGGAGAACATGTTGGTGGATTGGTATCAAAATCAAAGCTTTATTTCAAAGCTCCGTTCTTACATCTTTAGCATGGACAAGGTCACAATGTATGTAATGAATGTCTCTAGACAATCCGGTCATTTTCTGCAATGATCATTAATTTAAATGGATTTCAGCAATAGTAATACATTTATTATGAGAACAAAAAGTTCAGCCACCTTTAAGTCAACTGTCAAGTTTTCTTTATTTCCAGAAATTATTGCTGCATTTTTGTTTTTTTTTTTGTTTTTTTTTTTTTGTTGGGTAAAGGTCTCAAGACCTTGTAAAAAGGTACTTTTATACGAAACGCAAACAGCCACACTGCAAAAACAATCTAGAAGTAAAAATGTCTTATATTAAGTGTATCTACTTTACATTAAGTGTATAAATGTCTTTATAATTATAATTTTTATTTTTTCTGACACTTTTTATGTTTTTGTACGGTGACCTTGAGTGTCCAGAAAGGTGCCTTTTTAAATAAAATGTATTATTATTATTATTATTATTTACCCTTAAATTTAGTATGTAAATAAGACGATTTGCCAATAGTTATATTTACTGTTGAAATAGGTTAATTAGATAATATGCACTTGAAAGAAGACATAATACAATTGTTTTCTCTTGTTTTAAAAGTAAATTGTCTTTTTCCATTGGCAAAGTGTCTCAGATGACAGCTCACTTCAAGAAAAAATGCCCTTATTTTAAGAAAAAATGACTTATTTAGATTTCAATACTTTGCAGTGCAATTTTCAGCGTGGTTTTGCCTGCCGTTGGCCGCATGACATTTCACTTTTCCTTCACTTGCAGTTTGCCCAAATAGCGCATTTCACTGCATCAGCAACAGAAATAGCGTCTATGGCATGCTCTTTAACATTCAATCCCTAAACTGGGTATTAATTACTGATGTCTGTAACATTATCTGATTGTCAAGACTCCTGTCTCTGTGTTTCTGTGTTTGTCTCCCTTCCTCCACCAGGAGGCGCCTGGTTCTGGTCCGCCTCCTCACACACCTGTTCATGGTTTCCTCGTTAAACGGACCGTTCTTTAGCTGCTGACTGACACTACCTCGACGCCAGAGTGTTTGCCAGTTTTGGGTACTCTAGCAAAGGTGAGTTTTGCTGAGCCAAACTGAGTTCTTGTCAACCTGAGTTTTAACATTGTTTTTGTCTTTGCCTCTCGGCAGGAAGTCATCCTGCAAACTGGATTTTTCGGACCCTCTCTCCCTGGAAGGATCATCTGAGCTTCAAACTGAGCTGGGGTTACAAACAGGAGGTTTGGATCCACTTTCCCCAAGAGATCGTTTGAGCTTTACACTGAGAAAGGGATTCATCTCCACTACGACCCGTTCAAGTACCGCAGGAAATCAGAGTGGCAGTTAGCTTCTCTGTTCACCTACAAACAACCGCATCCTGGGTAAACCCTGTCCACCCTCCACCGAATCAGACAAACACTGGAACTACAGCATACAGACTGGAGTCTAGGATTCAACAACTTCTCTGGAAACGTGAGTCGGCAACCAAATCCTCTTCTCCAAGTTCACGAATCAAATTTCCCACTGAGCCTGAACTAATCGCTGTGTCTTCCCCTCACTTTTCAGTTCCGGTTGAGCAGTGTTCAGAGCAACACATCTCTCTGCATTATCTCTTCAATAAAACCTGTTAAACCTTTTCTCCTGGTCTCCCTGTTTGGTTTTCAGCATTTGGGTCTGAACTTTAAGTAAAATCATGACACTGATTAGAATTTGACTTATCTGTTATCCCGTTTCACTGCTAAGATGCAAACAATGTTAGCCGTGCATGTTATAGGGTTTGTTATTACAGATATCTGCATTGAAGCTGCAGATGTCTGCTACTCTTATTGTACCCTGAAAACAAATATCTGTAATTCCATTTTATATTTGCCACAATTTTGTTGGAAAATATCATCAAATGAAGATATCTGGATTGGCCTTTCTTTATGTTGTGGTCGGGAAATTTAGTTTCTCTTATTTCATATATTAATTTATGCTATTTACTCATTATAAAAGTTTTCACTCAGTCTGTTTCACATGCAACGCCACGTAATTCTCCTGCGTGAGGGTGTTTATAGACAAGAAAGACCTTCTTCCCATAACAAACCAGATTCTTTCTCAAGGTTTATTCATAACATGTTACTGTTTAACTAAACTGTCTGTAATTTGTTTTGACTCTGACTACATTTTATTATTGTAAGTAAGAGGGAAGAAACGCTGCCCAGTCAGAACAGGGCTGATTAGCGTTCAATAAGGGCCGTATGATGAACTGTTCTCTCTTTGCAAAGATAAATGTTGGGAGCTGGAGAAGTTCCACCTTTCTCCAGCAGAGTCCGCCGTGGATCCTCTGAGTGAGCCTCCTGCACAGCTGCAGCTCATCAAGATCATCAGAGGATCCACTA